CGCATTATGATCTGCAGCTTGAGCGAGTACCGTACTAAGCTGTGTAAACGCTAGTCTGCTACACAGCCGTTTTTAGAGTCGTCACGCAACGCTAAAAACGACACTAAAAACGGCTGTGTAGCAGACTATGTAAACGCGCGAGCACTCTCGAAATGGTCGCCCTCACAACACGCCGGCGTTTTTGGTTTGTTTTGTTTATGTTGATTTCTCGACAATCATTTTCATCCGAAACCATTTGACACTGTTCAGAATTTAAGAAAACACGGAGTACAACACAAAAACAAAGGGGAAGGGAACACGTTCCGAGCATAACCTCTGTTCGTAACGATATAATATTTTTTTGCAGTGCAACTTTATTAATTTCCATCTGCGGTCAANAGTCTGCTACACAGCCGTTTTTAGAGTCGTCACGCAACGCTAAAAACGACACTAAAAACGGCTGTGTAGCAGACTATGTAAACGCGCGAGCACTCTCGAAATGGTCGCCCTCACAACACGCCGGCGTTTTTTGTTTGTTTTGTTTATGTTGATTTCTCGACAATCATTTTCATCCGAAACCATTTGACACTGTTCAGAATTTAAGAAAACACGGAGGACAACACAAAAACAAAGGAGAAGGGAACACGTTCCGAGCATAACCTCTGTTCGTAACGATATAATATTTTTTTGCAGTGCAACTTTATTAATTTCCATCTGCGGTCAAGACTTGCTAAAAAAAACTTACTTCAATAGACGTTTTTCATCATTTTGATGAGAGAGAGTTTCCGATCTGAAAAAAAAAACGATTATTGTGAAGTCTTAATCTCAGATCTCAAGAATGCTTTAGAAAAAATGCCACGATAAATAACTATTTTTCTTCACAAACAGAATACGAAGATTTATTATCATTGTTTTATTCCTATACAAAATTCATCCTGATATCCACAATAATATAACTAAATTCTAGACAAGCATACAAATTGCGGCTTTCTTTATAGTTGTAGTTTTTGTAAAAAGTAATGAATTAGCGCTTCAGTACTAAAGGATATGTTAAAAGCACTTTCATATAGATAGACGGACGTGTACTAAACACTCAGTTGGCTCGCACCTTTTGGGCGACTATGGCACAAGGGAAAAAGTGTATAATAACTCGAAATTTATTTATTTATAAATAATAAATGGGATCACTTTTGTTTTGCTTTCTTTTTCATGTTTTCAACCAATTAAGGATACGATGTTGAAACCGCACTTCAGTTCGCACTTAGATAAAACATATTGCAAACAACACTGTCCAGTGATGAGAAGCTTTTTCAATCTTTTTTTGCTCTGGTTACGTTGTGATACATTACCTCGAGACGCGGATAATTTTGTTTGCGAACTCACCTCACAAGTAACATGGAATGCACAAGCAAATCAAAACTCTAGGCAACCGTTTTTCAATTCATTGTGGTCTCAACATCCGATACCTTATTCATGATATTACGTCGGATCCGTCTTCTGATAATTTTCTACAGAAGCGTGTAAAAGTAGCTCTAAAATGTAGCATTGCCTGCCTGGTTGACAAGAAAGCACATGGCATCTACTGCAGGAAAGGCGGTAAATGGAGTTAGCAAATCAGAAGAAGACAGCTCACAGATTCAAAAAATCCTCATAGTATTTGTGTTCGTGGCTTCTTTGTTCATCCTCGTGGGAAATCTGTTAACAATTATCAGCGTCTTATTTTTCACGAAACAGAAGAATACATTCACTTTACTTCTCATTGCTCTCTCTTTGACTGACGTTTTAAGCGTACTTGGACCAAATGCGATCGCCCTGTTCGTGTCTTTAGATGAAAGCAAGGAATTTCGCGATCTTTTTACCCTGTGTCGTGTTCAAGCTTGGATGATTGTCTTCCTCCGCATTGCTGCGACATTAATTATTACTCTTCTAACGTTGGACCGAGCCTTCATCACCGTATTTCCACATTTTTCTCGCAAACAATGGAAGTGGAAGTTTTTTGTCGTATTCTTCTTTGGAATATGGATTGTTGCTTCTTTTGTAGCAACATGGCCTCTTCTTTGGCTCGATGGTTTCCACGTGTCCGAAGAGACAGAGAACATATTTTGCCTGTTTGAATATGAAAATCCTTTCGGCGTTTTTTTTGTGCTGTTTCTCTTCTTTTCTTTAGCTGTTTGTTGTTTTTGTTTCTGTATGATATTTAGCACGGCCAACAGGAAATCGTTCAGTACCAAGCGAGCCCGCTTAGATGAAGGTCTAAGTTCTTCAAAACAGAATGATATTGTGGGCAGTGATGCACATTCTGATACTAAGGAACTTTCTCGTATAGCGGCTTTCGTTGCTGCAATATATTTCTGCTGTATTCTACCATGGACGGTAAGCAAGTCCCTAAAGTGTATTCATAATAACACTAGATCTGTGAAATACAAGAAATTTTCTCCACCAAAATTATCCGATTTTTAAATCTCTCTCACTCACAACCGTTGTATTGTGTTATAATACAATATTTGAGGACATCAGTTCTTCATCGTGTACTCTAAAAAGTCTACAGTCAAATACTTTGCATACAGCTTAAGTTAGTACATCGTACGACTGATCAGTTTTTTTTTTTATCACAGGTGGCTATTTCCCTGGGAATCTTGTCAGTAGACTATCCTTCTCTGTTCGGTCTGTGTGCGACCCAGTTACCGGCGCTCAGTGGTCTCCTGAATCCTCTGATATATGCAATCACGTGGCCAACATACAAGCAAGCTTATATCCGCGCCTTACAGTGGACTGGTACCAAATGCTGTAACAAGAAATTGAAAAGGTCTTCTCGTGCCAGGTCTCACAACCTTATCTGTAAGTATCAAGGGGAACAGGGCTGGTTAACTGATCGAT